GACACCTACATTACCCAGTAGACATGACACCTGCATTACCCAGTAGACATGATACCTGCATTACCCAGTAGACATGACATGTACATTACCCAGTAGACATGACACCTGCATTACCCAGTAGACATGACACCTACATTACCCAGTAGACATGACACCTACATTACCCAGTAGACATGACACCTGCATTACCCAGTAGACATGATACCTGCATTACCCAGTAGATATGACACCTACATTACCCAGTAGACATGATACCTACATTACCCAGTAGACAAGACACCTGCATTACCCAGTAGACATGACACCTGCATTACCCAGTAGACATGACACCTACATTACCCAGTAGACATGACACCTGCATTAGCCAGTAGACATGACACCTGCATTACCCAGTAGACATGACACCTACATTACCCAGTAGACATGACACCTGCATTACCCAGTAGACATGATACCTGCATTACCCAGTAGACATGACATGTACATTACCCAGTAGACATGACACCTGCATTACCCAGTAGACATGACACCTGCATTACCCAGTAGACATGACACCTGCATTACCCAGTAGACATGACACCTACATTACCCAGTAGACATGACACCTACATTACCCAGTAGACATGATACCTGCATTACCCAGTAGACATGACACCTGCATTACCCAGTAGACATGACACCTGCATTACCCAGTAGACATGATACCTGCATTACCCAGTAAACATGACACCTGCATTACCCAGTAGACATGACACCTGCATTACCCAGTAGACATGACACCTACATTACCCAGTAGACATGACACCTGCATTACCCAGTAGACCATGACACCTGCATTACCCAGTAGACATGACACCTGCATTACCCAGTAGACATGACACCTGCATTACCCAGTAGACATGACACCTACATTACCCAGTAGACATGACACCTGCATTACCCAGTAGACATGACACCTGCATTACCCAGTAGACATGACACCTACATTACCCAGTAGACATGACACCTGCATTACCCAGTAGACATGATACCTGCATTACCCAGTAGACATGATACCTGCATTACCCAGTAGACATGACACCTGCATTACCTAGTAGACATGACACCTGCATTACCCAGTAGACATGACACCTGCATTACCCAGTAGACATTACACCTACATCACCCAGTAGACATGATACCTGCATTACCCAGTAGACATGATACCTGCATTACCCAGTAGACATGACACCTGCATTACCTAGTAGACATGACACCTACATTACCCAGTAGACATGACATGTACATTACCCAGTAGACATGACACCTGCATTACCCAGTAGACATGACACCTGCATTACCCAGTAGACATGACACCTGCATTACCCAGTAGACATGACACCTGCATTACCCAGTAGACATGATACCTGCATTACCCAGTAAACATGACACCTGCATTACCCAGTAGACATGATACCTGCATTACCCAGTAGACATGACACCTACATTACCCAGTAGACATGACACCTGCATTACCCAGTAGACATGACACCTGCATTACCCAGTAGACATGATACCTGCATTAGCCAGTAGACACGACACCTGCATTACCCAGTAGACATGACACCTGCATTACCCAGTAGACATGACACCTACATTACCCAGTAGACATGACACCTGCATTACCCAGTAGACATGACACCTACATTACCCAGTAGACATGACACCTACATTACTCAGTAGACATGACACCTACATTACCCAGTAGACATGACACCTGCATTACCCAGTAGACATGATACCTGCATTACCCAGTAGACATGACACCTGCATTACCCAGTAGACAAGACACCTACATTACCCAGTAGACATGACACCTACATTACCGAGTAGACATGACACCTGCATTACCCAGTAGACATGACACCTACATTACCCAGTAGACATTACACCTACATCACCCAGTAGACATGACACCTACATTACCCAGTAGACATGACACCTGCATTACCCAGTAGACATGATACCTGCATTACCCAGTAGACATGACATGTACATTACCCAGTAGACATGACACCTGCATTACCCAGTAGACATGACACCTACATTACCCAGTAGACATGACACCTACATTACCCAGTAGACATGACACCTGCATTACCCAGTAGACATGATACCTGCATTACCCAGTAGATATGACACCTACATTACCCAGTAGACATGATACCTACATTACCCAGTAGACAAGACACCTGCATTACCCAGTAGACATGACACCTGCATTACCCAGTAGACATGACACCTACATTACCCAGTAGACATGACACCTGCATTAGCCAGTAGACATGACACCTGCATTACCCAGTAGACATGACACCTGCATTACCCAGTAGACATGACACCTACATTACCCAGTAGACATGACACCTGCATTACCCAGTAGACATGACACCTGCATTACCCAGTAGACATGACACCTGCATTACCCAGTAGACATGACACCTGCATTACCCAGTAGACATGACACCTACATTACCCAGTAGACATGACACCTACATTACCCAGTAGACATGACGCCTACATTACCCAGTAGATATGACACCTACATTACCGAGTTGATACGACACCTGCATTACCCAGTAGACATGACACCTACATTACCCAGTAGACATGACACCTGCATTACCCAGTAGACATGACACCTGCATTACCCAGTAGACATGACACCTACATTACCCAGTAGACATGACACCTGCATTACCCAGTAGACATGACACCTGCATTACCCAGTAGACATGACACCTGCATTACCCAGTAGACATGACACCTGCATTACCCAGTAGACATGACACCTGCATTACCCAGTAGACATGACACCTGCATTACCCAGTAGACATGACACCTACATTACCCAGTAGACTTGACACCTACATTACCCAGTAGACATGACACCTGCATTACCCAGTATACATGACACCTGCATTACCGAGTAGACACGACACCTACATTACCCAGTAGACATGACACCTACATTACCGAGTAGACACGACACCTCCATTACCCAGTAGACATGACACCTACATTACCCAGTAGACATGACACCTACATTACCCAGTAGACATGACACCTGCATTATCCAGTAGACATGACACCTGCATTACCCAGTAGACATGACACCTGCATTACCCAGTAGACATGACACCTGCATTACCCAGTAGACATGACACCTGCATTACCCAGTAGACATGACACCTACATTACCCAGTAGACATGACACCTACATTACCCAGTAGACTTGATACCTGCATTACCCAGTAGACATGACACCTGCATTACCCAGTAGACATGACACCTGCATTACCCAGTAGACATGACACCTACATTACCCAGTAGACATGACACCTACATTACCCAGTAGACATGACACCTGCATTACCCAGTAGACATGACACCTACATTACCCAGTAGACATGACACCTACATTACCCAGTAGACATGACACCTGCATTAACCAGTAGACATGGTACCTGTACTGCCCAGCAGAAGTAGCAATTTTGATCAAAATTAGTTCTAACACTCATGATACCTGCATTGAAGCGAATGCAATTATGTATTCACAATGCAAACTACATGCAAATGTAACCTTTAGAATAATTCAAAGAATGAGAGAGAGAGAGAGAAAAAACAATACATGTAAAATAGAAATGAGAGAGAACCAGCAAGACACAAAATGATCATCGAATTTAATCCTTAACGAAAAATCATGGCAATTCATGAAATCTCCATGAGTGCTTGTTAGGGGACGGTGGAGACAGTGAATCGTTGCATGCCTCTCAGACAGCGTTCCTCTATTTGCATGAAATTCCACATGTAGCTTTCCAACGTCCCTTTAGAAAGTGCAGTGCACAATACAGTATGAATATTCAGAGGCCCCAGAAAACGTGAACGTTTGGCCAACCACGTGCCAACTTTGGCCCAATGGTGGCAAGTTCACTGGGACGCGGACTCTCAGCATCCTTGGTGTCAAACGCAGTAAGTACTGTTCATGAGTACTGCACTTTGAAATGTATATGGAACTTGTCTGTCATAGTATGGCTAGTGCACACTGCCAGGGATACCGTGAGGAGCGGTAGTGTAGTCGTTAGTGTGCTGCGCTACGAACCCGGCGACCCGAGTTTGATTTCCGCTTCCGGCCAACACCAGTGACGATTAGCCGAACCAGTCCTGGTTCTACCCTAGGTCGGCTCAGCCTCAAATGAGTACCTGGTGCGACGTGTAACCATCGCCACTATGGAGACAAAGGCCGGGGCATTGTGCTGGCCACCCACTCACGTGGCGTGGCGTGCCGGCCTTCATAGGTGCTCTTTAACAGCACTTGCCCCAACAATGTCTCTTAAGGCTATATGGATATTTGTGCCTTTGTGATATACAGTGCATGTGGCCTGCCAAAGCCAAAGATATAAAGTAACCCTACATCTTTTTTTATGTCGACAGCACTGAGTGTAATTCATGTGAAATTCAACGGTTAATTATTTCCCGCGTGCGTTAATTCTGTTGTAGGGTTGCAACCTCTGAGTTGCGAAAAAACCAACGGGACATATCATGGGAAGAAGATTATCTCACAAACACCAGAAGTGGGGAGAATCACAGGTAAACGTATCGCCTTGAGCGGTGTATCACTACTCAGCTGAACAGAACACATTTTATTATGGCGGTCGAAATTTAGGCTCAAAATCCTAACAATCTTCCGCATGAGATTCTTTCCTTTACCTATACGTTGCGTTGAGATATTAAGCTGACAACAACTTAAACCCAGAAATTATTTCGTTTTCGTCTCCCGGGTTCGCTTGCAGATTTTCCCAGGGCGACTACAGTCCTCAAAACAAAACAAAACGGGGGACGGGACGGACGACGACAACAACAACAACCCCACTGGGGAACAAAGCCCCAGTGGCAATCCACAATAATTGTGCGTGGCGGTGGTGGAGGAAGGAGACGCAGCAGCTGACGGCGTCGCGCACCTTCCCTGCTGTTGAGCTTTGCGAAGTGGGCGGCCAGTGCCGGCGAGAGCTCCGACGAGGCGCCGTAGGCACCGGGCCCGAGCAGAGATTCGAGCGGGCGGTCGCACGCAGGGCCTGCACACGCACGCACACGCACGCACACACACACGCACGCACACACACGCGCACGCACGCACACACACGCACGCAGGCAGGCAGTGAGCGGATGCAGCGTTGCAAACTTCTTCAACGCGAGGAGGAGGAGGGGGGGGGGGATGTCGCCAAACGAACCTCAGGAAAGTCTCTCTAGACCCAGGCGATCGGCAAACCTGTGCCTCTTTAAGGACATTATTTAGTAAGGGTCGCTTCGTATTCGCATGCATTGCGGCTCTTGAAATATTTAGTTTCGTACCGGATTGGGAAATGAAATGCACACACTGTCAGAGCTTGTGTTCTTTTGTATGCATGTTCACCACAAGTATATGTGGTAAATGCAAACATGATTCCTTGCAAATGTTTCAGTTTGGTGTTTTAACATCTTAACACCTGTTTTGTTGCCAGAAAGGGGAAAGCCCTATTATAATAATTTAATATTGGCAAAGGAGGTCTCAAAATGGATCTTCTTGTTATTTTGGTAGCCAAACCCTTGTTCTGGACAGACATGTCACGAGACGATTTAAAGCTTTCGTGACTGCAGGAATTGATATTCTTGGTTCTTTCGGTAAATTCACGTAGAAGGGAAACAATAAAATAATAAAAATATAAAAAATATAAAACAATAAAATTCTCACGTTTCGACTGCAACACAAGCAATCATCATCAGGTGTGAAAACCACAGCAATATTTTTTTTTAAGTGGCGGGTTTTTTTTAACGTTAGCACCACAGAGAGCAATTTGGCAGTTATTCTGATTTTTTCAAAATTTTCTTGCTGTGTTTTCACACCTGATGATGATTGCTTGTGTTCCAGTGGAAACGTCGTAATAATTTAATTGTTTTATAATTTTATTGTTTCCCTTCTACGTGATTTTACCGAAAGAACCAAGAATATGTCACGAGACCATTTACCTACAGTAATTGTATATGTAGTGAACTGATACCGCAACTTTAATAATAATCCAAGCATGGCAGTATAACAATGTACTATGCACATCATTACACATAGCACACGAAGACAAGATCTTTAACACATGGCTGGAATTGCTTCTACATCTGAATATTATCTTCATCTCATTCCCATTCTTCTGATTTGGATTACTTTTCTTCACTGGTACATTACTAAGGTTTTTTTGATATCTGATAGATGGCTTTGTTTCATTAAAAAAAGTCGGCTGCCATTGTTCCAGTGAATGTGGCTATAGATTTGTCACGAGGATAACCCACAAAGTTGCTAGATACTGCGACAAAATTACGAAGTTGGCAATACTGCGAACGGGGGTGAATATGAGTCACGTGGGAAACGGAGGAGAGTGACAGAGAGCGAAGAGCAGCAAATAACGGAAGGCGACAGATAAAGTCAAGAGATTTATCAAGGAACAAAGCACCTCAACGGGCAAGGGATAGTGAAAGATTACGGGGAAGATGAAGAAAAAGTGTAAGACTAGTGGGGAGCATATGAAGTCGGGACAAGATTAGAGTCATGCAATACACTTGACAATTACATAACTGACGGCGCTGTTGTTTCGCAAGTAAATTGACACAATCAATGCCGGCTCAAGCTCTGATGTGTACCCTTTTAAGAGAACATTGATTGTCAGCTTCCAGTAGCCAGAATTAGATTCGTTCCTCCGTAAAAAAAAAAAATAGTTTTCCCTTGTAGATAAGAAAGCACAGCCTTACGACTGTATTATCATCATCATCATCATCATTCCTGATGAGTGGCAATTCGAGGCTATTCCAAAGATTACATCAATTCGTCCAAATTCTGTTCACTTACAGCAAAAAAAATGTATAGCTATGAATTTCCTGCTTGTGATTGGGTTCTGGTCAGAGTGACTTTGACATTTTCATGCAATTTAGTATTGCTGTACTTAAAGGCAGAGGTAGTCATGCATGAGAGTTTAGAAAGTTTAAAATCGCCCATATTACCTGCTCTGACATATGGATGGGAAACGCAGACTCGACTTTGCAGACACATGCAGACGCAACAAGAGCTAAAGAGTGCACAAAAGACACATGGATACATTTGTGCTTGGGAATTACACGGATAGAAAGAAGACAAACGGATCAGAGCAAACAATGCATATTAAAGACATCATATTGATTGTTAAGTAAAGTGAGCTTGGTCGGTACACATCACTTGAAGGGATGATGGGCCGGTGGATGAGATTGCCAACGGAATGGCAGCCAAAGGAGGGAAACACGGACAATGAGATTAACTCAAATGCAGGAGGAGTCCGTCTGATTACTGCATCTGAATACCACGAGGGGTTTGCAGCGGGCGAGGTGGAGGTGTCATCATCCAGCAGTGGGTGGAACATGCTGCGGATTATACGTGTCAGCTGCAAATTGTAAATCCCTGAATATGTTGCATGCTCGGACAACTGAGGTCTGTCGTTTGTTATGTTGACAACGTAGCCCTGCACGAGCTGGCGTCAATTCACTTAGCCGTGTTTTGCATTCTGGCGAAGATTGGCAATGCCACGTGTTACTATAAAATGTAACAATTCCGTCACATTCCTACTTCGATTTATTACAATAGGGTCAATTGATAGTTAGGATTGAAAGGATCGCCTATATTTTATGCAGGTGTAACATTTCCAACATTGCACACCAAAAAAAAAATCACAGTTTCGAAAAAATAAAATATGACATGCAGCCTCTTCAGACTTTCAGGATATGACATGCACTCTATGACTCCACTTGCCTGTGCAAATGAGCCATCTTAACCAGTGGTCCACTGATAACAAAAGTGTTATTGGAGACTCAACGACTGAAGTTGAAAATGTAATTTGAGTTCTAAACATGGAAAGTTAATTGCCTTTTGAATGCTTAAAGATAGCCTGCCGCGAGCTTGATGCCTGTTCTGGTGAATGACAATACACAGCAAATCGTTCTGTAATGCACATGCATATTTAAGGCAAGGCTACCTTCATTTAACAACCACCAATGCATCAGTAAGCTCAAATAAAAACATAACCTATCTCATTAAAGCTAAAATGTTTTTTTTTAATCTTGCTCTCGTGTCACTGTGGACCTTGGCTGTCTCGGGCCCATGACCACAATCCCAGGGCAGGCGACAATCCCAACACCAGCCAATCCCATTGCCACCGTCACCGCTGAAGGTGACTACTCTTAGCCTTCCCCTGAATGCCTTTAAATGCTTAAACGGCTGCGACGTAAACACGCGAGGACAATGCAGCAATTTCCCTGCCTCAAGACAGTCGACATGTGCACACAGCTATCAGGCGCTGATAGGCGTTGTGCTGAGTAACACGTCCAGTCTCATCAAGCAGCTTCTTGGCAACAGCAGCGGCCAAAAGCAGGCAATGCCACGCACGCGCCTGCCTTGTGTGTATGTTGTATGTATGTTGAACTTCTTTCGCGCCGTACGTAGCCAACCGTACCGATTGGAGGTGCGGGGGAAGGACAGCAAACTAAACACACAAAAAAGGCATTTCTAAAGAAACGAGTTTTCAATCGAGATTTAAAAGTGCATAGTTACAGTGGTTTCCGAATATCAGCGGAAGAAAGCATTGCAGACGGCCGCAGAAGCACGCATCTGAAAGCCGCACGATGCAACCGCTGCCCGAACAAAAAAAGCTTTCACGTGAGTTTTTGAATCTGCTGCGGAACACTCGAAAAACTTCACGAACAAATACACTGCGGATCGGGATTGTATGTTTGCCATTGAGATTAAGCGGTTATAAAGCCACCATTCACGCAAACTGCATCTTACAATCGCTGAGGAACTACAGACGAGCTGGAAGGTCGCCAGGAGGTGAGCCAAGGCCAATAATTGCTCTGTAGCTCTCTAGAAATTAAGATGTTTTCAGCCAATTAGTGAACGTTTATACATGTTAAGGCTATGATTTGGATCCCTTAAATAACATGTCCTGGTTTAAAATATACATTAAGAGGTGTACTATATCTTCACAAGCAAAAGTATGCCGGTGCTATATTCATAATGATTTACAACACTTTGTCATTCCCCTGGTGGATGAAAATCTTTCCACACTGAATAGGTTATGGGGATTGTTTGTCCATACTTCACCACTCGAGGGCCAGGACAGGTTCAGACATTACTTTCCATCGATGTTACCCATCGTTGGGAATCAAACTCGGGTCGTGTGGTTTTCAGAGCCGCAGCTTTCTGACCACTGCACCACCAACCCCCAACGGATATAAATATATACCTTATACGCACACAGTACAGTATTTATATTGAACACTGTATACAGTACAAGCTTTGACATATCCGTGCCTCAGCTAGTTAAGCAAAACTAAATGCATGGCAACACACATCAGCATAAAAGGATTGGGCCATATCCCCTACACTGTTAAAATGTGTTTAAAGGGGAAATGAAGGCAACAACCTTTGTCAGCCTTGGGCACAAATAGAAAAGGAAGTGCACCACACAGTACTCCGCTGCAACACACAAGAGGACATATATTGTTATCGGGGAGGGCACTGCATTTCATACAAACGCGAATGTTCCCTCCAGCGACGTCCCTCCACGAGATGCGCTCTGGCAAGGTCGAGCTAGCCAGAGGCATGCATTAATAAAGCTGCGACAACAGCAGTGGAGAAATGCACCGTAAATTATGAGGTGGGGGATAGATAATGCTGACAGGTCCAAACAGACGGGTTCACGAACCCCACTTGCATTGCTGCCAACCTCCTAGCCTCCTGGAAGCCCAGAAAGGGTGGAGGGAGTTTCACAGATCGCTACGGGATCTACTAACCCTTGCCTACAGAGTTGCTGGATCACAGGCACGTACCGCTTTATCCCTTATGAAATTATTGTATTGCCCGTAGACCACACATGGTGGTAAGCCAGCCTGGAGGATCTGCAGCGGCAGGGGAAGTCCCAGAGGCCAAGCAGCCAGAGGCGCCATAGTGCCAATGCTCTTAAAGGTTACGCTCCACTTTACAGCATCAGGGGCTCAGCTGGAAACCCACGATATAAACAAACCC